CCCCCCTTTTATTCTCTTCCAACATGACAACGCGATCTCTCTCTCTCTCTTTCTCTGGCACTTTGCTTGTGCGCTCGTGCCGAAGTTTCGCGCGTCCAAACCAAAGCGCACGGTTCTGACTCAGAAAGCGCTCCCGGAAACAGCAAAAACGCCACGAAATGCGTCACATCCGCAGCCGTACGACCTACAGGCGCAAAAAGAAGCGTTGGTTTGGATCGCGCTTTATACTCCGACGTAGCGCGTGCGCGCGCGCGAGCGCGTCACAACGACGTCACGTCGGCGAAAACCCGACGCTCCCCGGCGTTGTGGCGTAACCGACGCGACCGGCGGCGTTCGACGCAGCCTGACCGCCTCGACGCCAAAACGGAGCATGCCGTATTCCACGCCGGCCGCGCCAGCGACGCCGGACCGGGATGCATGCATTACGCGCTGGCTCCCGGCAGCCCTCACGCGGGAAGCGCGGCGAATACGAGCAATAGCAGACGACAGGAGCAGCACTCCGTGTGGCGTGGCGTCATGCTTGAAGGATCGGACTCGGTCGTCGAGAAGCTCATCGAGGGAATTCGTCCTCAACCTTGTGTCTACGACACGAGGAAGCGAGTACCGTAGACCGGGCTCTTGTAAAAGATCTACCGTATGTACATTGACCGCCTACGCTTGCGGCGCAGGCGGTGCACCAACAGTGCAAGCGCGAGTTTTCGTCAGGCAAGGTACGTCCACGCCATCGCTCGAACTTGGCGCTCAAGAAGCGCGAGAATTTTCGTCTGCTATTCGAAACGAAAAGGAACCGGAAGTGGTGCACTCTCACAGGAAACGTGCCCTCGTAGTCAGATTCTGCGCATGCGCCGCGCCGGCGGCCCACCGACGCAAGCCGCGGGAGCCGCCAGGGCCGCCGGAGTATAAAGGCGCATTCAAACAGCGGAAAGACGCGCGTCGTGGGGGGAATTTTTTGCTTATTTTTGTATTGAAAAAAGTCGCGCGCCGAGGAGGACGACGCAGGGAGACGACGCCTCGGAACCCAATTTCTCCCACGACGCGCGCGCTTGAGCCAATCAGCGAGCGTCCGGACGTGACGTGTTCCCTTTTCCGGTTGGGACATGTTTTCGCTGTTTTTTTTTATTTTCGACTCACAATGAAGGCGAAAAGGCAGAGAGCTCGGGGGATTGTGCGCTCGCCAAACGTGGCTGGAAGTATTCCAGCGTGGAAAGAAGCAAGCCGATTGGAACATCTGACTGTGAGCAGTGTTTTATGTGCGTGTACGACGCTGTGAAGCTACTCTTCATCGTTTGCGCGAAGCTGCCGCAAAAGCTGCCACCGAAGTTCGCGGTGTGTTCCGACCTCCGACTGTGCGGGAGCGATCACTCCCAATGTGTTGTGTAATTTTGTGTACACCCATCACTACGGAATACAACAGCCCTCCATCGAAAACACTCTCGCACAGGCTGCGTGCAGTGTTAAAGGTACGGACGCGAAGGCTCTGGGACGCGCCGGCGTAGCACCGTGCTTTGTTTGCACAAAAACGCGGCAAAAGAGCACCTGAAGCTGCTCGTTCGAGTCCGTGCCTTTCGCCAATGCTGCAAATAACCGGAGTGTAAACGTATATATAATCATCACCGTTGTCCATTCAGTGAAGACGGTTGTCTCCCACCGCATATGCAATCGCGAAGGCAAGGCAACAACAATCGTGCGAAGCAGACGAATACAAAATTCCGTGTTCTCTCGACAAAAGTGAGATTCCCCGAGACGACGCCGCCGTTTGGGTGAACCTGTGTGACTGCTTCGTATTTTACGACGCCGGCGTCGACGTCGACCGCAACGCGCGTTTTTTGCTCAGTGTGAATGCGCCTTAAGAGGGCGAATTTTTGACGCGCGCGGCGTAACTGACGTGACGTAGCCGACTTCGGCCAGCGTTCTCTTGCGCGCGCGTTACGTCGGAGTATAACAGAGCCTTTAAGAATTCGTAACGTAACTTAACGTAAGAAATGGCCCAGTATGAACGGCCTTTACGTTTCGAACTCGGTTCCGCAGTCGTTGTCAACACTTCGACACTTTAAAGGGGCCCTGCAGGAACTTTTTGACTGGTTTTTAATTTGTACCGAACCTGAGCACACTGAACGTAGTAACTTAATGAAACTTTTCGTTTCTCAAATTTCGCTTTATTTTAAAAGTTATAGGTAAATTATAATTACAAAAACAACCAAAAATAACCTCCTTCATGACGTCGTAGGTCCTGGCTTGAGTGGCCGTGAACTAGAGGAGGGGTAGTGAGCTCATCGAGCGTTCACGGTTGCCGCACTCCGGGTCGACGGCTCGAGAGGGCGCCACTAAAGTTGGATAGGCTGTAGGAAGCGGGCGGCCAGGGCGGCTCGCATTGCATTTGCTGCGCGATTAAGCACTTATTCGGCATAACTCTTCACTGAAATTTTGTTACTCTCTTCACTCCCGCGGGCTTGCCCGAACCCCAAGAGATGTGGAAACCGCAAAAAAAAATAGACGCTTCAGTATGATTGCAGGGCCCCTTTATAAAGATAGAAGCCAAATTGACTCCCACCTTTCGCGTGCAAAGTGTCTCATTGAACTCATTGCCACGCGGCATTCGAAGCAGGAACCTCGGCTTTAGAAATTCTTAAGCAGCTTACATTTCATTTGTGCAAAATCAATACGTAAAGTGCTCAACCTTCCTTTTTCAACAGCGCAATTTTTTTTTAATCCCTACAATTTGTTTACAAAATGGGTAACATATTTGTCTTTTAGATCTCATTAATCGCCTGCATTGTTGCGTCTGTTACATAACTTAAAATCTCTAAATTTCTGTTTCGTGCTAACTCTCTTTGAGAGTCGCCAAAATTGCAATTACCTCAACCAAAACGAAAGAAAAACTAAAGCTTGCGCACGGTGTGATGATAGCCCCAAATATTCGCACCTAGCCCTTTAGATTTTGTCGACGGCTAGAGAAAAGAAGGTAATTTTCTTTTTACAGCGGAGCTGTTTATGGTCTGGGGTTTCGTGGAATTTTCGTGTGCGTCAACCAAAACTCAGAGTGCTCGCGCTGCCCTCTCTTTGTCGTGTTTCCAAACCGCTTGCGTGCCTAGTTTCCTATCCTTCCCTTCACGCGTGTCTAGTTTCCTTTGGATCCTCGAAATGTGTGTGCGTACCTTTCGGGACGATGACCACCAATCAAGACAATAAATGTGTTCGCACCATTGTTTAAAATTCTGTGCCACGTCTGCGTCCTGTGTTAAACAGCTTTGCTGGTCATCCACCTTCACAGAGTGGAATGGCTCATGATCTTTTTATTATAAGGACCTTTGTCCGCCTGAGTGAGGTTTCCACTTCGTGGCTTAGGTGGGCGTTCCAGCTTCGTGGCTTAGGGCAATTGAAAGCGATGTTAAAAATGTTTATTCTCACAGTGAGGCTCGCTTTTGTACATTAAGTTGTATAAACAAAAGAAATACATTAAGACAAACATGCACTTTTAACAAAAGCTTCTATAGCTTTCTTTGAGAACACGTATGTGGATTATCTTCTTTTGCTTTTGATGATCAATGAATCTCGATATTGAAACAGTTGCCCTTTTTCGTCTCACCATAATAACTTATCCGCAGCGTTAATGATTGCTCGTAAGAACCCAAAGATATGAACTCACTCGGAAATAGAAAACACAGGGCGCCAACCCTGAGGTGAGGTCGCTTAACCCCAGCATGTCAAGGCAAAACCGCGAAGGTTCAGAATGCATAGAGGTTTCGCGTGCAGTGCCCTGCTTTTCGCTCAGAGCTCTCTCACCACCGATTGCATATGAACCTGGGATTATAAATTTAAGCAGGTCATTCACTCGAAAAGAAATAGATGCATTTGCTGTCCGTTTCAAACGCGAAAATGTGTGTCGCCAAGACATTTAGGTTTCGTTTGTACGCTTACACAAGCTGGGACATATCGCGTCACATACCATTCAAGGAAAACAGTTATCATTGTAACCTATGACACTATCTGTTATTTTCATCCAGAAACAGAGAGTTTGTAACACGCGGAAAAAGAATCTTATTTGGTTGCCGTCGTAGGCCTTATTTAGCTCACGTTTGAACAGTAGAGCTGTCACCTGATCGTAATAGAGGCGTAAATGCTTTACTCTATGCCATTCTATTTTCACTCTTTTTGCGTTTTATCTTCCTTAATGGGCGTAGTCAGATTCGCAGCATCCTTGTTGACACCAAAATGCAAGTTGAAAAAGGAGCACGATGATTATACCAGTCAAACAAAGTGGAATAAAAAACCAAAACATTTGTTATAAATACGAGCCAGCAGCGGCGCCTTAAAGAAATCTCCACAAACGAGAGTACTAAGCGTTACACCTCCGTCTCCGGAACTTGTAGCTGCACCGGTAGCGCTTTTAAACTCTTTCGCGGTTGCGAATGTGAATTGATCAAGCTTTCTGTAGCGTGTGTTCTCGTGGTTTATTAAAACTACCGTGATGTACTTCTTATTTTCTTGGAGAGCTCGCGTGAAAATGTCTTCCAACAAGGATAACTTACAAAACACTCGGCTAGCTATGAACGATGGGTGTCATGAGTGAAGTTCCTACGTGTGGTACGAAAACACAGAATCAGGCACTGCACCTAATACAACACACATAAATGAAATAACGCCCCGCACTCCTCTCAAGAGTTCGAGCGAATCAGAGTTCATCAAGCACACACATTAAAGACGAAGTCTGCGATGCGCACAGATGAGTTGTTACCCAATGCCCGAGCCCCACTAGAGCGACCAACAGAAACAGCCGACAACGACAAGCCTCAAACGCGTGCGGCATGCACGCCAAGCTTTCTTTGGCAGGCTTGCGGTCACTCGTGCTTACTTCACGAGCAAAGAGGTCCTGCAAGCCTACCAAAGGCACCATCGCGTGCATGCTTGACGTGTTTTTCGGTGTCGTTTGCTTCTGTTTTTTGGTCTACTTCGACCCGGGCAAAAAACGACGGTGCAGACTCGGTCTAACAGGGTGCGAGTCAGAGGGCTTCCACGTCACTGGGCGACGAAAGCTGCTTGAGCGAACTGCAACTGTGCTGCAGAGAGAGCGGCGTCGGCGAAGGACTCCTGGTGGCTGGCCACGACCGCAGTTCGCCCAGGTCTGACGATCCTTTGCGGCGTTCAACGTCCGACATCTCGCTCCCTTCTGACCAGGACGGCTGCACAACGGGGGCGGAGTTCTTGTCAGAGACGCGGTTGCTCTTCCGCAGCACCCCTCCCGTCGCAGCGGCCGTCGAAGCGGACGTCACGTCGGTTGATGCCCTCTGGCGGGTCTTGTTTGCCCAGGATTCGCCAGGACAAGACATGCCCCAGGACCGGGACGGACTGACGGGGCTCGGGCACGGACTGAGGTTATCCGGGAGGTAGGGTTCGATCGAAGACGCGATGGACGCTCGGCCAGCCGGGTTGTAGCCGCTGTGGATCTCGGCAGTGGACGTGGACGCCCCTGGGCAGTCCATGCTCTCGTCGCAAAGCTTGTTGGCGTATGGGGACAGCGGGGAGGGCGGAGCGTCCAGGAAATCGTCGGCCTTTTTCCGACCCATGGACTTGAAGATCTCCTCGTCTTTGAAACTGCGATGGAGACCGTCCGCGCTCGATAAACGCAGGGTATAAGCTCGCCATGTTGACAATCCGTGATACTGCAGAGTATCCTTGCTGATAACGAAAATAAGCTTTTTCTGAATTGCCTCACTAAACAGTGGGAAATCTAATAATGACGCCTGATTAAATATCTAAGCAGTGAAACGTTTCAGACTTAGATCATGGGAATTGCATGTGAGCACAGCGAGATGCTGGGTATTCACAACACTTTAACAAAAGACGCCAGGTGGCGCAAAAAACAGCAAAAAACACCAGGGAGAGCAATAGGGTGCTATCGCCTATCTTAGCCCGTAGCGAGAACTAAAGCAACCTAGCAACCGAAATGTGAAAAAAAAAGAAAGAATAGTAGGCAGGCGGTGCTCATGATTTTAGAACCTGGGCTATGATGTTTATTCAGGTACCGACTTATCCATTGTTATGTCTCTCCTCGGAGATAGCAGAGCATTTAAAAGGTGCTTTTTTCAGTTCTTTTGCAATGGATTAATATTTTTTGTGATATCGGTACGTAGAAGAAGATAAAAAGCAGCCACATGTTTGTTGATCCTTCTTGATATATGCTACTAATAATAAATACCTTTTAAACTCAGTAGTTGCCTGAGCGGAGGACAGAGGGCGCAAACGCATTCGCCAATATTAGGCTGCTTCAGTTTGATTGGTTTCGGTTTCAACGTTCACGCGGATGTGTTGCTGTTTTATGTCACTTTCGCTTAATTTCGTTTTACAAATATGCCTTTTGTAGCACAAAACCTCTAAAGCAATGGTACTAATACCCAATTCACACGGCAGCGTAAGGGTACCTTTGGCACAGGTACTGTAGTAAGGGGAGCTGGAGATTGTAATCACACGGCGCATAAAGGTCCCTTTCGCGATGAAAGGTCCTGTGTTAAACAGAGCTTGCCAAGCTCCCTTTACAGCTACAGGGAGTAGCCTCAGACCCACGAACTCAAAATAAAAATCACAGATATGTATATATTTTAATGCATTATAATAAATTGAATATATATATAAGTAGCAAATTATTAATTGATTGTGAACAAAAATGTGATGAAATAATACATTAACGAGGAACGCATACTCCAGCTTGCGGGTTGCAGCGGCGGCACGTGGAAAACAATGTCTGCTACGAACCCGAACGCGATTGACCACTGCGAGCTCTTTTTCGAGGTTGTAGACGAGTCGTCCGACTCTCCCGCCCAGGACTTTTTATCCTCGTCGTCGTCCATCCTTTACGATGTCGTGACTGGTGCAACCGTGAAACGCCGACGTGGTTCGTTTCTGCAGGGCACTATTTAGGTACTTCAGTGAGAACAAGAATGAATCTGCTAAACCGAAAGAGGTCGCCCACCTCGCAATGGAAAGTCGTAAACGCAGATGATTTAGGGCCAGTGTGGCCAGAAGGGTCGGGCGTTTTAAAGCAATCCTCATTTAGGTGCGCCCTTAGACTTAGAAAAAAATAAAGTGCCGCAACAGCGAACACAAATTATATTTAAGTTTAGATGTAATATTTCACACACAATTATCAAAAACTGCGGGTCAAACCGATTTCGAGGAATAATTGTTTATCATGTACCCCTCTTGTGGTTTAGCAGGAATGCAATCGACATCAACTTAAAGTGCTCCATTTATTTATCGTGTGTTTAAGAACGCCGTTTACTACAAGTACCTTCAGCTAACGAACCTAAGCTAAAGGTACCTTTGCGCAGCCGTGTCAATATGGAATAAGCCACCTTAATAATGACAAAGTGGTTTCGAGCTTAAATTACGGTCTTCTTTAAGAACACCTTTGATGTATCTGATTATATTTAGTTACTTTCGGCCAGGTTTGGCGCCAAAACCCCTGAACTGATGCACGAACGCTCAACTTACATGAAAAAAAAAAAAAAAGCAGGTTGAGCGTTCAATATCTGTCTCCTCCACGAGCTTCTCCATATAATCAGAAACAACTGTTTTCAATCTGTTATGAATACACAAGGCTATGCTTTCAGAAAACAACTCTCTTTGTCCCCTTCCTCAACAACCTAAATGCGCGACCGTAAATATACCTTGCGTTTCTTATTGCGAATGTCCCACCACTAATAGTAAGCGAACCCGAGTTAATTTTCATAAGTAACTGACCTTTGGATTCTCGTGCTGTGTTAGAATCATCTGCGTACTCAATGAGTGTAAATGAAAACGATGATTTCTATGCTTCGGATAGTCTCCTCACACGTATCCGGCACGCCGACGGTAAACAAAAAGGCACAACGTGTTACAACTTAATTGCAGAAGTTGTTCCATGTGCACATAATAATGTATTGCAATTAGGCAGTAAACGACGTCAGCACGGGGTAGCAACGAGTCCTGCGTGATGTAGCACGCAAAAACTAACTTTCTCGAAGGTGTGAGTGGAGACACCAGCTTGAGCGTCCCTTTCAATTATTGCTTACCGTGCGACTCATGGCGACAGCAAGACTTGGCAAGGACATCCCTCTTCTTCCCCTCTCTCTCTCCCTTACACTCACACTTTTTTCTTTCTTTTTCTCTCACACAAACACACACACAAAATTACTCATATACACATATACACACACACAAACGCACAAAAGACGCCCTCAAGACATGGTGTTCGGTACGTCACCTTTATTTAGTAACTCTGAAGTCAGCTGTTCGAGATGCAGATTACGTCCTATGAAACTATAGTAAGTCCGCATATCGCATGCAGTCTAAGCTGAACACTTCAGTGGTGATGATGCCCACATTTTTCTGTCACCCTACAGAAGCTGCCCCGAGCAAATGCTAATGACGGCACATGTTACCGGCATACACACAGTAGGTAAAGGGCAGAAAAATTGCTTCGAGAAGTCGGCGTCGCCAACATCCTTATTGCTAGGCTAGCTGCCATGTTGAAAACAGTTCATTTGTAAGATCAAGATAACGAGTGGAAATGATTGTCTGGCGCAGTGATATATGTGTGCAGTTTTGAGAAACATTTGCTACTGATTTTTTTAATTACTTGCAAACTTTAAATGGACGTACAATTTAGTAAATGACATTGTAAAAAATATTAACAACTTGATTGTAAATAAACTCTAAGGGAGAGATTACACCCATGAATCGATACAAGGCATTTTTACACATACCAACACTGGCGAATCCCGGAGACTAGCTGACCAGAGAGAAGCTCGTTAGAAGAGACTTACAGACGTTTTTGCAGGTCCGGAAGAAAGCTGAACAGTATCTAGACCAACCCGGATCAGCGTACATGTACTTTTTATAAAAGCACAATGCAAAAAACATGAACGCCTTGAAACACTTCTTCCAAGCAAGGTGGTCGCTAGAATTTTAAAACGGTAGTAATACCTAGGTAACAGGCGCCTCTGGAGAGAGCAGATGTTACACATTTCGAAGTAAGGCTCTGTGCTGTAGCCATAAAAAAATTGAGGAGTGCGTATACAGCCTAGAAATTAGTCTGTTCCAACGGGCGACTTGTCTCCCAGCTGAAGGTGATAAATTTAGCCAATGCAGTACAAACCGGAAGCCTGGGGTCTTTAACGTGCACTACGCAGTAGTGACACACGACCGGACGCCGTACGATGCTGCAGTCCTCACTTCAATAGTACGCAAGTTTTTGTTTGCTTGTTGTAACTGTTTGCATGTCCAATTTTGACGTAGCCGAATAGAGGCGCTATATGCGATTAATTTAATGGACGATTGGAAGAGGTTAGGATTCAGGACAATTCTTAAATAAGTGATAAAGTATGCAGATGTTGACGCAGATTATGCAATGTTGACTATAATAGGTTACAAGTCAAGAAGGTAGCGGCAATGCCCCTGAAAGTGGATCATATATCCCTCCGCCACCTCCGCATCCAATAGCGCCCCAACGTTTCCGTGTACGTCGCGGCAGACGTGCGAGAAGGGTCTTGCCTTTCTGTACATATTTGCTTTATCTTTCGACTTTGACTTAGCATTGTGGAAGCCACGAGAGAGAGGTTAGAGTTTTTCCCCTCCGATGGAAACAAATACGACTTTCCGGGATTAGGTTAACCACCTCCGATGGATACAAAGGCTGATTTCAAGGGCTCGGTTCTCCCTTCGATGAATACAAAGGTCGCTTTCTTAAAAAGTGGGATCGGAGACAAGTTGGCATCACTCTGTAGCCAATATCTATACATTGAAGCGGAACAAGGAGCGTTTCTTCTTTTGACTGCGGAGGGATTTAAAACCGGCGCATCACGCTTGTGGGAGGAGCTTCGCCTACCTTCTTAACTTGTAACCGACTATAGTGTATTAAGAGGATAATGTGACATGAGGTGTTTTTTAAACTTTTGATCACAGTATGAGCAATGAAAAGATGCGAATAAATAATTGTGCTTGTTTTAGGATTTAGCCAGGCAAAACAAATTGAATCCCAGAGTCAATCGTCTGGAAACATTTGCCTAGGTTTGCGCGAGGACATTCCCAACGGATCACGGAGCTCGCTAGCTCTGAAGAAATTCCATTGAATCGCTTCACAGGTACAAAAGTAAGCTTTTATCTGCCTGTGCGAAAAAGCTGGTGAGCATCTCTCCGAATCCTAGGGTTTTGCGGTCAGCTTTTATTTTTTTCGATGAGCGTATCTCCGGTGAGCAAAATTCCTCGGGCGGGCCGACTGCGTGAGAAACATATATTTCGCACACAAAACAAAATGACTTGAAGGCTCGAGCAGCTTGCTTTTCTTCAGATATTTTGGTTTTCTGAACAGCCATAGTGTCGTATTCTTAGTCAGACTATAATCAAAGCAATTGACACTGTTTTCCTTCAACTTAGGCCCTTGCGTTAAACGTGACGATGAAAAATACTTTCAAGGCATAGTTTTTTTACACTATTATACACCGGCAATTCAACACCGTAAAGCAATACGTTCAAAACGAAGCCTAAACCTTAAGTCTTCATTCAGAGTCTTCTTTCCTCAAGTCGTCGGGAGGGATGCTAAGTGTTTCGGCGTATCT